CACCCCTTAAAAGGAATGACGCCAATTTTGAATCAAGCTGTATAAGACACCATAAACCGTCATTATCTTAAGGTTCTTAAAGACCGATCTACAACTTTGCAAGTACCTCACTTTGCATAGGCGATTTCTTTTCTGAATGACAAAAATACGCTGGATCATACAGTCTTTCCCCCAAAATGTACCTTACTTATGTACTTACTAACAACCCTAATGCCATAACAAATGGGTTTTAGTTTTTTACTTAAATTATTTATATGGACTGACCAACCAAGATGTTCATTTATGTGAATGCCATATTTATTTGCTTTTTCTAAGAGCAGTTCTCTATGCAGACAATCATAGGCTTTAGACAAATCGAGGAGCATTCCTAGTGCTACTTCTCCAGTTTCCAGGTGCATTAGGATATGTTTCACAAACTCAAAGATGGCGGTTTGAGTTGATTTTCCTTTTAAAAAACCGTGTTGACAATTACTAAATATGTTACATTGAGTTAGGAAATTTACTAATCTGGTACTCATTGCCACCTCAAATATATACTCAATGATATTTCATAGGTACACATCCAAAGACATTTTCTGTTGTCTACCAATACCAAACTGTCCCAAATATCTAATTTGCTATATAGGAAGTCAGTGCATCCTTCGTTAGAATTTAAAACACATCGGTTTTGTTTGAAGAATTACTTTAAAATTACGAGTTAAAATACCCTGGCGGTTGAAAATAGTTGATCATGACCTAAATCTGCACTTAGCTTGATTAATGTCAATGAATTTTCTCAAAATGTAATGCCAAAAATGGTTTTTGCTATCTGAAGTGCAGTATGTGCTGCAATCCATCCAGCATATTTCATACATGACTAGACAGGGCCTGACGCAGCTTTCCAGTCAGGGCCAGCCATGATCACGGTTGGTCATAGAGGTGTGCTAAACGTTTATTTTTCTGGAACAGGTTACAAGGTTGCAGTTTCACTTTGGTATTAGGTTCCAAAATGCGGTTCCCAAAGTAACATGTTACTATTTAAATATTTCATTAAAAATTCGCAATGATCATGGTAGGAATATTGATGATAGATTATAATTTAGTTTATTAAAAAAATAACTCTTAGCATTGGTAAACTAAAAATATTATATTCTAAAAACAAAAACAAAACTTAGCTCATAAGTAACTACTTAAAGGACAAAAACTGATAATAAAATCGAGTTTAGACTGACAATAATTGACAATTCGAAAAAGTACGTTCCGAAATTCAACTAATCTTGTTGAATTTACCGTTTATCCTTGTCTATTTTATTGTCACTTTCTGTATAATTCCATGGTTACCGGAGTTTTTAATAATTACGAAGCAACAGTTATTTACGTAATGTTAAGTAGAAATATTAGATTGAAAAACATCTGTTTTCGTCTTTACTGTTTTTCTGTCCTTATAAAACACAGCCAGAGTACAGCCGAATTACGCCAATTTTGAATCATCCTGTCTGTATGTATAATTTACCGATGTTTGATATTTTCGGTACACCGTGTATACAGTTCTTTCTTTGTTACGATAAAATATGTAACCTAGATAACAAATATACAGCGACTGAAAACGATTTCAAGACGGAAAAATAACAGTTGTCTAATTTACGGACTTTCATACGTGGATTACACTGTATGAATATCTAAATCTCAGCGAAACCGTGTAAGTGACTAAGTATTTTAACAGTTCCCACTTCTTATCGACAAATGAAGTAAAAGTACATTTTCCACTAGCAAAACCTTGGATGTTATACAATAATATGCTAACCTTGAATGATCGTAGCACCTTGGTAGAACATACTTGTTACTCATAATTTGCTTTTATAGTTGTATAAATATTTGATTACAATCTCAGTAGCTGTACCAGATGAAGTATAGAAATAGTTGTTTGTTATTAGATGTAGAAATATGTCTTTGCCCATCGAGCAGACACTAGTCTGCCAATTAATACAGGGTGATTCAAAATTGGCGTCATTCCTTTTAAGGGGTGATAGAGGCTCCCTTGGGGACTACGAGAAAAATATTGAAAATTTTTTTTTTGAAAATTTCTAGAAGTTATTAACAGTTGAAGATCGAATTTCAACTTTGTTATTAAGCATTATGTTGGAATTGTTCCATGTTTCATTGGTAGCATATTCGAATACTTAAGCATTCAAAAAGAAAAATTACTACCTTTGTTTCAAATTACGAAAATTTTTCATATCAAAAAAGTTCTCTTCTACAATTTTTTGATGAAAAGGCATAGCGGCAATGATGTTTTTT